GTTAGGTGCCCGCCTGCCACTGCCCCCATCTGGACCACCCTGCACGTGTGTCCCTGCGGCGAGTCCGCCTGTGGCTCTCGCTGCTCCTTCCCCTTATGGCTCTGCCGCCCGTGTAAGGTGGGGCCGCCAGTGGAAAACCGGCAGCTGCAACAGGCGCATGCCCGTGTTCGCTGTGACAACGAGGGCGGGTCCTTTCAGGGCTGTGTCCAGGGCAGAGTGGGCTTTTTCCCTAGCATGGAGGTGACCTCACCCCCTTAGGCCTAGGTACTAAATTTAGTGCCTTAAGAAAATGGCCTGGATTAGCCCATCTTCTTTGAAAGCTCTCATTTAAATCAAATGCCATCTCTTACCTTATGCATTTGGCCTTTCAGTTCTCAGACGAATTCTCAGCTTTGGAGGGAGTCTATAAACCTAGGCCGTGGCCAGGCAGAGCCGGGCCTCAGCATACCCACAGCATGACTGTCGTGCCTTGCCTTCCCTCCCATCTTTCTCATCCGCCCTGGTTGCCTGCTCCCTAATCCCCATGTGGTTCATCTCTGCTCCGCCCCTGCCCTTTGCTTTCTTCTCTGCCGGCTGCCACCTACCCAGCACCTGGGGACTTCAGTCCCCTCACCCCACTTTCCCCTCTGTTAGATGAGTGCTTGCCTGCCATTGCGCCAGTTTCTGTAAATCGCTGTGCCCTAACTCTGTCGGCTGCTGCAAACTTCAAATGCCCTCTGAAGGCGCACAAATAAATCAGTTCAGCAACAAGGCCAGGAAAGTGACGAGAGCCTGATGAACCAGGCACTGCGTGTTGCGACATGCATTTCCCCGGAAAACGGCCGCATGAAATACCAAGCCCCGGAAGTAGGGACTGGAGTTGGAAAACACACCATTTGTTATGTATGGCAGAAGGGCTTGTTTTATTTATTCATTCAAAGTATGCTCCAGTGCCTTCTATATACTGGGCTTTGGTCCAGGCACTGGGGAAGCAGCAGTGAATGAAAGCGGCAGGACCCCTTGCCTTAATTATGCCTTATTCTTATTTAATTTGGGTGAATAAAATGGGACGCGTGTTCAGCTCTTAGACGCAAAATAAATAAATTAAAAGGGCAGTACACATCTGTAAATGTCACACATTTGTGTCACGTTTGTAAATGTGACAAGGTTATCATATGAGTTCTTAAGACTAAGGGACCGTCATCAGAACTGTCCAGACTCCGCCCTGTTGCTCAGAGGGTTGTCCCTGGACCAGCAGCGTGGGCATCTCCAGGGAGCTGTTAGAAAGAGGCGCAGCATCCCAGGCCCCACCCGGAGCTGCTGAGAATGTACATTTTAATCAGATCCCTGGGAGCGAGTCTTGGGAAGATCCGTCATGGCCGGAATTCACCTTTCCCGTCCTGTCCCCAGAGCTGAGGGACGACGGTCACTGAGTGGGTTCCAGGGTTCCCCATCTCTCTTTAGTAAGAGCTGCTTTTTAAACACTGATGTTGCACATTTGTTTGTCTCCAAGTCAGGGTCCGTCTGTGCCGTTTCCCCTTGTTAAAAATAAAGCGGAAAGCCTGAGTTCATGGTGTTTAGCAGGTTCCGTTTTGAGGGACCCCCCCCCACCCCAGGCACTCTGCACTTTGTTACAGGTTGTACGTGAAATGTGGTTCGTGTTTACAAAGGGTGTGTGATCTACGTGTAAAGTCAAGACAAACAGACATGAAAAGCCGTCAAACCTCGGTGATATATTCTGAGATACAACCAGACCCCAGGGGAAAACTGGAAGCCAGTTGAAACCGCCCCTCATCAAAGTCAGAAAAACAGTGCCTGTAAACACCAAAGTCGCTCCATCTTGGCTGAGCGTAGACTGAGGCCTAGCCAAGGCCCTTGGAGGTCTCCTCAGTCCTTGTCACTGAAGTAGAGCTGGAGGTTCAAGGCCGGTGCGGGGCAGCAGAAAATGGGCTGCCACAAAGCGTGGCAACATAAAAGCCCAGCACTTGGGGGCAGAGGAGTGCACCTTAAGGAACTCAAGGCAACAACACCATGTTTAAGAACAGTTCATCTATGGCTCAAAATATTGGTTCTGGGTTGTCAGAAAAGGAGTTTATGCTCTTTCTTTTGTTTAAGAAGACAAAAGTCTGCAATCCACATGAGGAGGTTTCTGCCAAAATGATTAAAATCAAGAGTTGGTTACTTAAAGGGCTAATGAGTAATTTGGGAATGTTACTTTCTAAAACATTCTCCATCTGATTTTCTTTAGCCGTCTCTCTTTGAACATGTGGCAGTTTGTTCTGATCAAGGCTTCGGGGCTGCTAGGGGCAGCACCTACCTGCGTTAGCTCCAAGACGGGGGCTCAGAAGCCCTGCGCACACCTCCACATGGATGTAAGGGGATCTGCCTGGGAGCGGGCTGGTGGGAGGGGTCGGGCAGTAAAGGAGAAGTGGGGGTTTCCGGAGCCTGGTGAACTTGGCCTCCATTCCCTCTTCCGCCTCACTCTTCAAGGCACCTTTGTAAAATCTCAGATCTTCACCAGACCAAGTTTGGAAAATACTAGCCCTGCCATGTCCCTTAAAGCTCTACCATCCGGGAACAGTAGTGTGACTCACACCTTGCACAGGTGTGCTGCTCTGCATCTTAGAAGGTGCCTACATAAGCATATCTTTTATCCTCAAAATCTTTCATCCTGTGAAGGAGTCAGGCAAATGTTATCACCTCTCTTGTGCAGATAAGGAATTTGCATCCCAGAGGAGGTTGGTTGGGTTGCTTACAGGCCTGTGGCTAAGTCCCGGGGAGGACTCTGGCTTTTCCAGGGATGGTTTCCTAATTCCTGCTGCTCTCTCAATTTCCTGACTTTCTTCAGCAGCCCTGTACTGACGGCCTATTCTGCCTGCAACGGCGGTGGGAATGCTGAGCCCGCAGACCTCTGCAGCCCCCCCCCCTCCTTTTCTCACGTTGGCATGCTCAGAATTAGTTTGTGAAGAATGACGTAAGCAGTCCAGGCTGGCTCAGCTCCCCGCATGGCTCCTTATGTGCACCGAAAGCTCTGTCTAGCGCACCGGTCGGAAATGGGGCCGGGTCCTCTGGTCACAGTGAATCCCTCTTCCCTCTATATCCCTGGAGGGGCCACGTGTGTGCGAAGGGAATTTATCATAAGGATTTCATCTGGAGACCTTTGAGAAAACTTCATGAGTACCGAGGCCATGAACTTGAAATCACAACAGTCTATGGCAAAGCCACATGAACTATTCTGCAAACAGCACTCCTTCTCGTACTTGTTTCTTCAAGTAAGGAAGTAACCACTGAACCTTCTAATCCCACATTGTCGACACCCGCTCGTTGGTGAACGAGAGTTTCGTTTCTGACCGCCTTTGACATGCAGTTCAGTGATGGCGGCAGCCTTGATTAGGAGAAGGCGTTTCTCAGTTGTGTTTTCCTTGCGTGTTACACTCATGGCCAGCTGTGCTGTCTCAGACCCGGAGACGCTCCCATCCCATGTTCATGCTCAAATGCAAGACTGATGGGAAGATAGCCCAACCCCCTGTCCCTGACCAGTGGGAGGGCACCCCCTGGGAGCCTGGTAGAAATGCGGAATCTCAAGCTCCACCCCGAGGCTCCTGAATCGCAATCCACCTTCGGTCGGGCGACCACCTGACGCTGCCTAGTAGACCTCCCCAGGTGACGTGGGGCAGAACCCCTGAGTAATGGCGATTTTCTCACCCCGAGTTTTTGCTTTTGGTTTTGAGCACCTGTTTGGCATGGTGGCTGGTTCTTTCACACGCACGAACCCGTCCCATCCTCAGACTTACCCTCTAAAGAACAGTTGTTACTGGGGCTGCGGAAGGTGTCACCAAAAGACCGTTTCTGGAGCCTGGGACAGGAGACTGGAGGCCCAGCTTGTCAAGGCGTAGCCTGGCCGAGCGTGAAAGCCTGCAGGGGCCCCGGCCCCTGGCTCGGGCACGCCCTGTGCTTCCTGGCCCAGGCGCCTTGTGGGAGGACTGCAGAGGCAGCGTGTCTCGGGCAGTGGAAGCCTCTCGCCACGTGTGGTCCAGGGGGTAGCTTGGTAGGAAGGGCCTCGGGAGGAAGTCACCTCTGACCAACTTTAGGAGGGGCATCCAGCATCTGTCTCACCTCCATCTGGTTTCTCAGAGCATCAGTTACAGAAGTTTAGGGCCTAGAGAGACACATTTCTCGAGAACTGCCACACCAAAATAGGCTGTGTGTGTGTGTGTGTGTGTGTGTGTGTGTGTGTCTTCAATTTTTTTTGGCATTGAATCATTTGAAAGACTAGATATTTATTAGAAATTAGTTCTGAGCTTCTGATTCTGCAGCCTGTAGGATATGCTGTTTTCTTGGATTCTGAGGGAGGAAATAAAATCAGTGCTAAGAAGTGATCTCTGATCATCGGATAATCCTGTTTTTCTGCCTACATTCCTCTGGTCTCCTGGGGTGTTTGTCCTACCTGGTGCACTTCTGAGAACAAAAACCTGTTACCCACACATAGACTCACAATTTGGGAATGGCAGGATTCCAGATCCTCCCGAAATGTGCGGTGCTGTGAGCCATCCTGGGGGGACAAACAAAATAAAGAGTTTATAACCACAATTACTTAAAAAGCACCACTTAGCAAAATCAATTATGATAACGGAGCGAAATTAGTGTCACAATTAGGATCAGTTGTGATTTTCAATGCAGTTGTTTATTTACCTACTTAGCCCTTGGATTGAAGTGTGAGGTGGGATCTAAAAGGGGGGCACCTTCCAAATGCTCTCACAAGACCTTTTCCCCCAGTCTTTTAAAACTCATGACCCAATTTTGGCTCCCCTCCCCGCTGCCATTTGGTGGTGTCTGCGTTCCTCTTTAGGTATCATTCTGTTTTCTTTTCTGTACCACTGATATCAGCTTAATTTCATAGGAATGTGTTATGTATTAAATACGTATGCATTTAAAATACTGTTTGGATCTCGTCTGTGAGTTGTTTCTCTTAAAGGACCTATGTGGGGAAATGAGTAATTTCTCCCGTCCTCTTCTTGCAGGAAGAATTTTAAATCGTTTCTCCAAAGACATCGGACACATGGATGACCTGCTGCCCCTGACTTACCTCGATTTCATCCAGGTAACACAGCAGTGACGTCAGGCTCTCCCCTGGGAAACAGAAGCCCCTCGCTTTGCCAGGGCCCGCCCATGGGGGGCTCAGGGTGGGCCTCGCAGCCTGGCGACGCCTCGTGGTATCTGCACGAAGGGCCGTGTTTGTCCAGGAAAGGTGTGGCAAGGAGTCGGAGGCTGAGTTGACATGAGTAATGCCTCGTGTGTAGGAGTGGCTACGCAGTCCTGTCAAAGTCAGTTCAAAGCAGCTACGGGCCGGGTAAGTGGCCCTCCCTCTGCCTTCCAGGTATCTGGCGCGGAGTTCACTTGGCTGAGCGCACATTTCATAATATAGAAACAATCACCTCTCACGGAAAGATAGCCCAGATTAGCTAAATTATGCATTGTATTACCACAAAGGAAAAATATTTACTGCACCATTTTCTGGGGATAAAACCAGGTGTGGTTACTCACAAAGGAAAGATTAGTTAATAATAAGGTGAAAATAATACTTTGTTAGCAAGGACAATGGAGAGCAGTTATTGTCGATGCAAAGCCTTTAAAGGCAAGCCTGGTGAAGCCAATAATAATTCGAGTACAGGATCAAAGTAACCTCAGAAAACGTCTTTTTTTTTGTTTTTCTAGGCAGCGTTTCTTTCACCTGTAGATTGCTCTAAGTCTTAAGGTGTCTTTTTAAAGGAAAACCAACAATCCCCTAGAAATACCGTCTAGGAGGCGTTTGCTCTGTCTGTGAACTTGAGGTTTCGAAAGAGTACTGTCGGGCCATCTTGCCGCTCAGCCTCTCAGTCAGTGTGGTTGCTCACCTGCGGTGTTTTTTTCTGTTGTTTGATTCTGTCTGCTTTTGGGTGATTCAGGCCGGAGGACTTTCTTCTTCTCCAAGTGTTTATTTTGGAAATGAAACGCACTAACCAAAGGTTGCACGCGCTCGGAAATCGCAACGCAGCTGCTGCTGCTGCTGCTGCTGCTGCCGGGGCCTCATGAACCTTCCCACTTCTCCCATGAGCTCACTGGAAGGCCAGGAGGGAGAAATGCAGCAGCAGCAGCGAGGCTGCGCAGTGCTGTTGGCTGGGGCCTCCTAGTTCCTCTTCCCTCCTTTTTCTCTCTTCTGGAGCCATGGTGATGAAAGGAGCCAGAATTGCCTAATTTGGAGAATTAGCTATGTCAGGAAAAAAAAAACCCAGGAGTAGGCCCGAGATGATGACAGGCCTTCCTGTCAGTCCCACAGAAATGCAGCGTTGAGCATCGGACTGCAAGCAGCCCTGCCCACGGGCAAGGGCGTGTGCTGCTGACCGGCCTGCCGGGAGCTGGGAGTCGAGCACAGTAGGACTCACTGCAGACAGAGACGTCCGGTTTGTGCTCCTCTGCCGCAGCCTCCTTTCTGTAAATGCGTCCTGCTGGGTTTAGCTCTGTGGTTCATCCCCAAGAAGCAGTCTCCCACTAAAACAGCGTCACGTTTTGACATGATTGTTAATTACTCTACAAGATTCTGTGGAAGGTCCCTTCCCTCTGCAGCCATAAGCTAGGCCAGGGTTGAATTTCCAAAGCTGGCTGGCGTGGGCTTAGCACGCAGTTAGCTGAACTATGTGATGCACGCATTTTTTTGTGACAGACGGAGAAATAGGGAGAGGTGCTCCCTCCCTATGTTATCCTTTATGTTAGTATAAAACATTCTCGGCCTGAAGAGAGAAAACTCTAGGCTCACTGTGCTTTTCTTTAACCTGAGAGACAAGGGTTTTTTTTTTTTCCATTTACTCCCTTAATCTCGGTGAATCTCATCATTGTTGAATACCAGTAGTCCCAATTAGCTGATTTCTGGAATCTAACAGCAAAGGTAAATCTCCATGTTATTGTGTCTAAGAAAGGACCTTTGTATAAAGGGTAACTCAGTTATCAATTACGATAAAGATCTGTCGTCACTTGTTTTGTTTGCAGGTGTCTTTAATAAGGCTTCCCCTAATCCCTTCAGGAAGAAATATTTTCTTCTTTTAAAAATAGTATTAGCCCGATATAAAAGCTCTGATCCCTGCCATTGTGGTCGATTCTTTGAGGGACATTTCCCAACATTCATTGTTTAAATGGTTGTCAGGAGGAATCAAGTGAAACTCCGTAAACAATGCAGAAACTGGTTCATCTCACTCTGTGTGGAGGAAGCCTTTCTCCAGAGGATTTGTATTCCGTGAGCGAGGACACGTCTTTGACAGGGGTGTCCCCAGGATCATTCTGAAGTTTTAGGGCCTGTTGCTTTATGAGCAAGCAGAGATTTTTCTGAAAGCCACAGAAACGAATTGAACTTGCCCTCAAAGAAAGGCCAACAAAAATCAAAATGTAAAGTGATTTTTTTAAAAGTCGGCTAGGACTTTGAGGGTGAACACAGCCCGGTGGTCTTCTGGGACTCTTAATGGAATCATGTAAACTCAAAATAAACACTATTATGGTTGGCACATAGAATGAAAACTAATTTTCCAAATCAAATACATTATATTCAATTCATTTTCCCCAATCAACCAAATGTTTAAAACCTGTTAGTTATAACAGCCATCTTCTGGAAATTAATTCAAAGCCTATTAGCTCTGCTAGCTGAGCCGAATGAAGAGGGTTACTTGTTACATTTTTAATAGGCTCCCGAATTAAAGCAAAGCAAGGTCAAAATGGCAGTCAGCTTGGCTCACCTCAGCTGTTGTGCTTAAGAAATTGATCTAGTTTGGAGGGTTTTTTGGGGTCGGGGGAGGATGTTAGTATTTTAAAGGAACTGTGGTCTACTCTGTGTCAATCGCTAATAAATGTTTGAAGTTGAAGTACAGGTCAGGTCCGGAGTGCATGTGTCAAGAGCGTCACCTGTGTGGACCTCAGCTTCCTCTCAAGGGCTTGGCAGTCGAAAGTGGGAGTGGCTTTTGTCAGGCTCCTCAACCCTTCTGGAGAGTTGGGTGAGCCACTTTCAGAGTTGGGAGAGTAGAAAGTTGCCCTTCTGCCTTCACTTTTAATGTCATTAGCAAAACCTACCGCAGACATCAGGAGGTCCCCAGTTTTAATGTTTCTCACCCGAGTGCTGGGAGCTGATCTCGTGACTGGCAGGTCCCCCTGTGCTCCGAGCAGCCCACAGAATGTCCTTCGTCACCACCGAGGGCGTGGAAGCAGTTGAGTTTAGCGGGAACTGGGAATGTCCTTGTGCCTTTATCCTTGGGGCTGTCTTGTGGAGAAAGTGGCCCTTACCAATCTACATATCTAGTATTCTTAAAGCCAGAAAGAGGGTGGCGGGATTTGTAGTAACAAATTGGAAGCAAACCAAAATCCAGAGCTTAGGTGTCATCATGAATAGGGAGGTAAGCTCTCCACTTTTCAGAATTTTCAAACTCCAACTGTCATGTTCAGTGTTTGTTTTTTTCCCCCTTCCTAAAAGTATGCATAGGCTCATGCTTTTTTGGAGACTTGAAATCAAATAGATACAGAACGAATGTAGTGGCATTTATTCATGTGGACTTTTTAATTCAGAGCACGCATGTTTGATTCCGTTTTCTGTAAGACTGATTGGGGTTTTTTTTGGCTTGGTAAGTGAGAACTGTGGACCCCTGGATGAGAGCTTCACTGTATCTGGGCACTTCTGAGGCCGAGAAATGCAGGGGGAGAGACCAGAGACCAGAGAAGGCAACCCTGCAGTTTGCGCCGTGATGGCTAGATTGGCACACTCCGAGGGAGCAAGTCGGAAACCGGGGGCATGTTTTTACTGCTCCTCGGACCAGATGACTGCGAGGGGAAAATTCTCTTTCAAATGCGAGCAAATGTGCTGCCAGGTGAAAGCTGTGGACCTGGCTTTCTCCCTGGGACTTCGACGGGAGATTTGTATTTGTGTAGAGGGACGTGTGGGCGTTTTGTTTTCCCTTTGGAGAGTTTACGGCTCATCCACACCAATACCATATAAAGCAGCACCACGGCCACTTTTGAAAATGTGTGTCAGGTGCTGTCCTACAGCCTTCAGGTGAGGTGGCTGCAGGAGGGTGGGGCTGGCGTGTGGGGTTTTGTGACTGACCTGGCACAGGTGTGCAGCAGTCGTGCAGGTAGAAAGACCAGTTTAAAATAAGAATTTAAAATGTGTTTATTGATTTTGGAGAGAGAGGGAGAGGGGGGAGGAAGAGAGAGATGGAGACAGAGAAACATCAGTGTGACAGAGAAACGTCAGTTGGTTGCCTCTCATTTGCACCGCCACTGGGGATCAAACCCGCAACCTGAGGCTGTGCCCTGACTGGAGATCGAACCCCCACACCTTTTGGTGTGCAGGACGATGCTCCAGCCACCTGAGCCACCCTGGCAAGAACAGAAAGACCAATTTTTGACTGAGAAAGCTTTTGGGAAGGGTAGGCCAGAAGCGAGGGAGGGTTTTGAGTGTGTCACAGAAAATAAATAACATGCACCCCACAAAATATCAACTGTCTGCAGGTTCCCTCAGGGCTGCCCTGGGCTTATCAGATAAGTTAGCCAATGGCTGGCAGTACCTCGCTGGCTTATCAAAGGGCTGTTCAAACACGTTCTGTTTGTTTGCATTTTCAAAAATCGTAACAGCTTTGTGTATCAACAGTTGTTTTAAAACCAAGTCACTTGAGCTAGATCATAGTTCTTCACACGTTAAAATTAAATATCTTTATGAAAATAGGAATTGAAGTACAAATAGTGAGAAGACATTTATCTAGGCCTCAGATAAGAGATATCCTTGACTATGCTTGGGCCTTCCAACACTGTATTTGAGTGAGCAATCAAACAAAAACATTTAGGCACTAATTAAAATGTGCATTTTCTAAGTGCCTTCGTAACAGCATAGCACAATATACAGCAGCATAAATCTAGTTTTTGATTTTTTTCAAACAGTGATTGATTTCATTAACAGAGTTGCCATATACATGTAATATTTGTAACACTTTACATTTAATTGTATTGATTAAAATTAATTTCATGCTGGCGGTGCAGTGGGGGATTGATGTTTCTCTACTCTCTTCTTCCCCTCTAAAGATAAATAAATAA